TTTAGAATGCCGAGCTTATATTGCAGTAATTACTAAAATTTTATTCGTGTGTTTCAAACATTGTTTATTTATGAAAGTAGTTATAAATTATTGTACATTGGGTATTTGTTGTGGCCACAATACAATTTTACGCACGCTATTTGTTTTTATTGTTCAGCAAAGTTACGAAAGCAATTTTTTTAGTTTACATTCATAAATTTTTAATTATAATGATTTTTATATATCAGATGTGTACACGGGATTTAATGACATAAAATTTATTTGGAACTGATCACGATCAATAAAAATAATTCGAAGATTGGTTAAAGATAAGATTTAATAGTCCACTACTGGACATAGGCCTCTCATTAGAAAGGAGGTTTTGGCCTACTATACCACGATGGCTAGACGGGTTGGTACTGGGTTTGTTTCAAGTTTTCTTTCTCTTTGCAGTGCTGTTACCTTGTTACATTAAAATTACTGAAATGGCTTCAGCAGCTGATTGTAAATCCATATATTTTATGTTATGCGTCAAAATAATGTTTGATCATTCGTACTGTTTCCTTACTATGGTGTTATTCATCTGACCATCGTAAATTTTGCACAACGATACAGAAAAGGACATAGGATCTTTTAAACCGCAAAAAAATTTTCCCTAGGGACGAAAAACAATATTCACCCCAGAAAAATTGCAAATATAAGCTAATTAACTACTTGAAATATACTTAATGATTACTTGGATAGAAAAACATATATCTACAAATGGAAAATAAAAGATATTTACTTATTACAAATCTTATGATGAAGTACAGTCGGCTTATATAATTTATCAGATAACCGTATTACATATTATACTAACAATACCAGTCAAAATTTCTTGTTCATTTGATAAATTCGACATAAATTACAATTTGTCACTATTCAGACTGTAATACATACATAATTCGATTTCCTTCATTAGCGATGGTTTTGGTACGATAGCATAGTATTATTACATACGTATTTTATAATTTTATTTAGCAGTACTAAGTGATAGTAAGGTTTAATATTAAAATACGTAATTAAGGTTTTATCCTCAAAAGGACTGTTACACGAGTAAATAATTAAAATTAGGGATGTACGTACCATTCTAATTCTGTTTTAGGTTTATCGATATTGTTTATCAAGATTTAGGAATGTAGTGTCTAAAGCAATATCTTAGAGGTTATTTAGTAAGTTAAGTTTCGTAAGTAAGTCAAGTTCTTGTATTAGTTCGATTGTCTATAATCTTGTTGTGTACTTGGTTATGTTTGTGTATTTGGTTGTCTTGTGTATTTTTTTTAATTAGCGATTCCATCCCTAGCCACACTGCTCCTATCAATTTGACTGCCTCTCTGGTGCAGTGGTATGTGACTGCTGTACTGAGGTTTTGGGTTCGATTCCCGGGACGGACAAAATGTTTGTATAATCTGCAAATATATGTTTCGGAGTTTGAGTATATTCTATGTATAATATGTAAATACATATTTACAAAAAAAGTATATAAGTATTCTATTAGTCAATCTAGCTTTCATAGCTCTTCTTAGTTTGAAACTAGATGGCGTTGTGCGTCAGTTGTCTGATTTTTTATTTTTCAATAAATATAAATAAGTGATCTGATTTTCTAAAAGAAAATTACATACAATAAATCATTGAAGTAGTTACTGATCTAGATAAACAACTCCTAAAAGAAATTAACAGATAAGCTTCCAAACTACAAACACAATTTCAAAGCACTTTTATGGACCGAAACAGTTTTAACAGCCAATCCTTCGCTCGTAAAACATAATAGGCAATTCAAGTAACGTCTAACGCAGTCGGCCTACGAGTATTGTATCGAAAAATAAATCACCGCACTAGTTTCTTACAAAAAATAACATTCTGGGAAGCTAAAGTAACTTAATAGAAATACGTGAGTCTTTTCACCTATTTCTTTGATTGAAGCAAAACAATTTTTACGTACCTAGTTATACTTTCTCTATATTCCGTGTTCGTAAAGTAATATATATGAGTAAAATATTAATAAAGTTTATGTCAATAAAATATATGTTCAATCCAAAATCCATGTGAATATAAGATACTACTCATATTCACATGGATTTTGGATTGAATATATATTTTATTGACATAAACTTTAACAATTTTTACGTACCTAGTTATACTTCTTTTATATTCCGTGTTCGTAAAGTAATACATCAGAGTAAAATAAATATAAAATATTTATAAAGTTTATGTCAATAAAATCTATATTCAATCCAAAATCCAAATGAATATGAAAGACTATCTTAGAGTTGAAGAATTGTCTTAAAATTATACTTGCTTTTCAGTATTAATCGATATAGGCTATTTCCGATAGAGCAAATGACAATGCTTCTGTTACTAAATATTTTAAAATTGGTTAAGTTTATTATTTACATTAAATTATGAATATATTTCGCTCCTATATCTTTTGACAAAGGACTGGTTGAAACTACAGAATCATAGAAAAATACTCTACACCCTCTTTATTCAAATATATAAGTTGCGTGACAAAACAACAGCTAGAAATTAATATATGAGCCGCCTACCGATTTCATCCCCAAACACCTTTTGACCCTAACACAATCGCGTGGTAATTATTTGAATTAAAATTGTACCACATGTTAGATTCTATTATTATTTCAAACTCGCCCACAATAGTGGGCGTGTCTCGTATTTCAATTATGTTTTGTGCAGTTTAATTTAAAACAGGCCGGGAAAGTTATTTAATTAGAGAAATAGATCAATGGGGTTTACACGCACATTAATTTATATAATATAAGATATTTAGTCAACGGTTTATAGTTTTAAAACTACCCCTAAGATTACATAGTAAATTGCCTAGCTAATTTATTAAATAATACGTATTGCAGACGTTTTCAGAATGCTTTTTGGTTGCTCTATTGAGCGCCTTATTCAATTTCGAAAAATATCACGTAGCCTATAGAATAATATCACATAAACCAACAAACGATCAATATGATATGATATAAAAATACTTGCTTTCAATATTGTGATAAGTAGTTTAGAAGTTATATGGGAAAAAATAAACATATAGTTATGGATATGTGTAGGTTAAAATAACAACTTTTTTTCACTATAGTCAGGTAATAATTTCGTTAATCGACTGTACACATGTCATATCACTACTCTCGCACAATATGGTATCTGCTGAAATGAAATCAACACTTGCATAGATTGTAAAATTAAAATTGCTTTTTATACTTTATGTACACAAAATCATTTCAAGATAAGCTGAGAAATTAATTTCAGTAATGCATGGTGCATTTGAAAATGGTAGAAATGAAACATGGCACCACTCTTTAGAATAGAAAAACCCATTTCAAAGGATATAATATGTACTTCTATTCAAACTGGAACGTAAACTAGAACGTATTAAAGCATAAATTTATCATTTCAGCTACCATAGATTATAAAATTTATTGATACTCATTTGTAAGTAAATATATTAAGGAAATTTCAGCCTCTGAGAAAGAAATAAATGAAATTTGAAATACTTGGTAGGTATGTATATAAAAATAGTACAGAAAAAATAAATCAATATTTGTCATAAGTCTGAAATTCACGGTAAAATGAATACACGAAGGTATCGGCGTACAATATATGTTGAATTTTATATTTATATGTACTAGTAAATTTATAAGTAGTGTATTATATGTATATATGTAAGTCAGCAAGTATTGTAATATGTATGTGTATCTCAGTATGTATGTGTACATATGTACACATGTGTACTTTCGTTTGAATTTATTTGACTAATTAGAATTAGTCAAAACTAATAAGTATAGATGAAGTTTTGACTAATGAAGAAGAAGAAGGGTCCGTCATTGATAGTTAAAAATGGCAAATATTATAAAAAAATACTTGATGATAAAATCCAAACTAAACATTTTTGGATATTAAATAAATGATCAATAAAATTCTCTGTTACTCATAAAGCCAATACATTTGTCCGATACATATTTTTTTCCTTATAAAACAAACTTTACGTATTCTGGAAATTTTCCAAGATCGTTCGCGGGTATACTTATTACCATTATTGATACACTCTCTCTGATTGATATTTTATGTATAGTTGTTCTTTTAATGTCTGTCTTCTGTATTCTTGTCCAATGTTGTACAGTAACTCTAGTACGTCATAATCTTTGTATATATCTTGATACATTTTAGCTTCATCTTTTCTGAATTCGAAAATCATTTTGATGCTTGTTTATTTTTTTATATAAATATTAAATCTCTGAACACTGAAATAAGAAAACGTGTACTTTTTTGGGCAGATATTGATGTTGATGAATACTGCATTTAATTGGAACTGATGAATTTGAACGCAAAATTTTGATGACACTACACGTCCGATATATATCACTTCTTATTGGACTCACAGAATTTTTGATAAATTTACAAAGGCTTGTGAGATATTTATGTTTTTAACCATTCGTAGTCAAACCTGTCTGGGTAATTATGGTTGCACTCAATGGATAAGGTGGATCAAATCTGTCATTAAAACCACTTTAATGGTTTTGTTATAATGCATTCAATTTTTTAATCCTGTCCATTCAGATAATTATACAGAAAAAAAAAAACCAAAAGGAATATTATCTTTTTTGTCTTTTAATAATAAAAACAAAATATTCTCGGAGATCTAACACACATGGGCATCTAGTTTCGAACTAAGCAGAGCTTGTACTATGAAAGCTAAACTGACTGATAGAATACTTATATACTTTTTTTGGTAAATACATACATCTTATGTCCGACCAGAGATTGGAAACCGATACCTTAGCACAGCAGTCGCATACGCTACTTTTCCATTTAATTTTAAAAGTTAGCAATAGGCTCGTCTCCTTATCATTGAGACTAGATTTTAGTCGGCGAAGTTTAATACGTCCCGACACGTGTGAGACTCTGTGTACGTACGAGTATATATTTTATGTCCCGTATAATAAATGTATTTCTTTTTACAGAAGATCGACGCATACAATCACAGCGGTCCATCCTTGCAGACGTCTGCAGTGATCGCCCTCTGCTCCATCGTGCTGGTGGTCGGAATCCTCATCGGTGCTATACTTGTTTGGAAGTAAGTTCAAATGTATATTAATATATTATTCAGTAGGTTATTTCTTTGGTTAAACGTTATTATATATGATAGAAAGTTAGAGAAAAGTCTAGGTAAATAATAATATTTTTGGACATCTAACACACAACGCCATCTAGTTTCAAAAAAAGCACAGCTAAATGTTTCTAAACATGGTTAAAATTGCAGAGAAAGCATAATGTCGTTATTAAAGGACCTGAAATAGATTGGAACTGATGCGAAAGAAAATTAATTGGGTATATAATGAAACTTAGTATGTAACACGAATTAGGGATACTACACCCTCACAGAAAACCAGTGTTAAGCAGTTCATTCGCTGACTTTCATTGAGTCGTTAAGGTTACTGGAGCAACAAACCCAACGAGGTTTGTTGTCCCTCTGATATTGGGGCGGGGGCTCTTTTTTTTTATTCCTGTACCAGGAATAAATCTTGTGTAAACTTTACAAACATACATAAAATAGACACAAAGGACACCTAGACTCAGAACAACAATTTGTGGATCGCACAAAGTGTTTTCCCATGTGGTGATGGACCCACAACACTCAGCGCACTAGGAAGCGGCGAGGTGACCGCTTAAACCACGACGCCATCCGTGCACACGACTGAGGTAAAACTTCTTGGCTATGAGAGAAAGAGAGAAAAAAAATGTGTGCTCGCACATCTCTCTCTTGCCCCTACAGTAATATACGAAACGTAACTCTCTCTTTCTATTTTCACTAACTTATATCTCCCTCTCAACTTCCGTTCGCCTCGCCCGATCACACTTTTTGTAACGCTCTCGTCACGCATGCACCAGCTTACTCTCCAAGTCAAGCGTGCGTAAAGAAGTTTTACTTCAAAAATTCTAGATGTGTCTAGACTTGATTTGACACTAAACGATAGCCATCTTACATCAAGCTAGACGATTCGCAGAACGCAATTTGAGGATAATCAATCAAAGATATGAACGAGACAGGCGTGTAGAACAAGATAAGTGCCTACTTGTTGATGGATGACTAGTCTTCATATTTTATAGCGCTTTTGAAATTTATTTCTGATATTGACGTGCATACTTTCGACATGAAACATACTTTTTGACACATCACAAGCCAAACATACTTTTTAAATTATAATTTTATAAATTTTGCCAGCTGTTTCGCTCGCTTGAATGTTATTTTACTGTTCCCCGGGAACATGATCAATTCTGAATTAGAGTTGCAATATTTGTTCGATTCTGTATCTTTTGCAATCATTGTGTATCATGGTAATCGGTTAGAATAATTTAGGCTGGATTTTGTTCTATACAAACAAATTAATTTTCAAATTAATAATATTACGTGTATTAAGCACCAGCTGACCCGCGCAACTTAGCCTGCGTCACTTTAAAGGAATAACTTTGCCCCGTTTTCAAAACATTTTTCATTGATGCTCGCCTCCAATGACCATAGCGTGATATTATATAGCTTTCCTCGATAAATGGACTATCCAACACTAAACGCATTTTTCATTCGAACCAGTAGTTCCTGAGATTTACACGTTTAAACAAACAGAAAATAACTCTTCAGCTTTATAATACTTGCATAGATTACTAATATACCTTACAATTAAAATCATTATTGTTAATTAAATATGATTTTATTACTGACTTGGCAAATTACACGTAGAAACAAAATCCTGTGTTGTGTTATTTTGTATTTCATCAGAAGCTCACAATAATTTGATACAAAAGAAATTGTACAGCTAATTTGCATCTTTATCTCAATATGTTACTAAACTGCCTCGAAATACTAGTCGTGAACACACTATCCTTTATATCTAACTACACTAAATAAACTAGAACACCATTCAACCTGACGAGATTAACACCAAAATTATTTTAAGTCTTTTAACAATCAATTTGAGAGGAACTATAATCCTCCAAACAAAAGATATTAAGATAATCAGCCACCAAAATATGAATCCACCGGCAGACATTTAACGGAGCGTGTCAACAATGGTTCGTTTGTGATGGTTTAATCGGTATTAAAGCCGTCTACACATGTGGAGGCAATGGTTCGAGAAAGTTGATTAGAGTGTCACCTTCTAGATTAAGGCGCGGTCTCAGAAATTTGTGGTACAAGTGTTGAGCGGAGAAGGGAGCGTGTTTGAGTGTTAAGATTTGAGCTTTGTTTTTAAATATGTGAAAAGATGCGTATATGATTGATGAAAGGGGGAAGGGAGAAAACTAACATTAAAAGGTAATGTAAAACATATTTTTCATAATAAGTTATTCTATACCTGTGTTATAACTTAGTAACACAAAATAAATAAAAGAAAGAAGAATATTAGAAAGATAGCTAAGTAAAAGTATCTGGATGACGGATTTTTTTTTGGTGAATTTTCTAAAAATGAAACCTAGCTAGAACGATTAATCGCCCCCGAAGCCTAACATACGCATACGTAAGCATACTTAATTTAATTAAAATCGTTGAAGCCGTTTCCGAGATTCAGATTTTATACAAGAATTGCTCGTTTAAAGGTATTAGATATTACTTTCACCCTTGTCATATGTATTACTCGGAACTGTCGGATAATGTTGTCATTTTTTCGTGTTCGCTTAATGAGTTTACAAAGGCCATATATTGCGTACTGACTAGCTTTAGTTTTTAATTTTATGTTTTTACGTATTTTATCATAGACTTGTTTGTTTTTATTGTAAGTCTTGCATTATTGTATTGGTCTATCTGTGATAATAATGTATAGTATGGTGTAAATAAATAAAAATGAAATACTATTCTAACATAACATATAAAGAACAACTTAATATTTTAATTCTATATTTCGATCTTAAAATACCTACATGTTGGCGCTGTCGCGGTCTCCTGTACTTTGAAGCAAGTAAGAAAGTAATAATTAGAGGTGTCACAATAAAAATGTCATCGCGGTAGAGAGACTGCGGTCGGATTTAGGAACTGAACGCTTGATAAGTAGCTGTAAGAATAGAGTTGCGTTAATTACATTCTTAATTTTATAGTGTTTCCTTATACGAGTAGTACTGCAATAAAAACAATTAATTATTATACATGCGTATTTAATATTTTTGGCAGAACGAGCTTAACTGCGAACTGCGACTTTGCTTGCTCTGCGACAAATTTCGTCCACATTCGTTCAGCTATTTTGACGTAATCGTCTCCAAAACATCCATATAACTTTTGCACTTGTTTTCTACAAAAGATGTGCAAAAGTTTGGAAGTATGTGTGATGTGCAAAAGTGAAGATAAAAATCAATGTTCGTTTTTTTTTGGAAGAACATTAAAGTAGAAATGTAAATAGAAAGAATAAAATAATGAAAAGAATGAACCTATATATAGGTAAGACTTTCAGAGTATAATCAACATAGGGACTAACACACCTTTTTTATGAACACTTCAACCTTAAATATCAAAAATTTTGTCATATGGCGTAAGCATAAAGATCTATAAACACAATACCCAATAATAACCGTCCCAGTTTCTCTGGCGGCTTAATTGTCATGTGTCTATCTCTTTCATGTAATATATGAAAGACAAGAACAGACTATGAACGCTCACAATATACTAGTCACGCAAGCTTTTAGTTCGAGCGAAATCCATCAAATAATGATACACGGGAAACGAACCCAAAATAGACGAACGGTTACCTAAAGTTTTGTATTGACTTAAGGTCTTGCTTGTAGTTTATTTAAATCTAGAAAACATGTAGGCTCCTCCTACCATTACCATTTTTCACTTTCACATTCATAATAAACATGATTGTAAATTTGTACAAAGGCGTTTCTTACTCCTTAAATATATAGGTACTATTGTTATACATTAGTACCTGGATACCAAAAAAAAATACCGGCATTTGCTGGGTATTATTTTTTGGTAAATTTTCTAAATGATTTAGCTAGATCGATTAGTCGCCCCCGAAACCATACATAACCACATTTTATATATTTCAACTCTTCTCATAATTCTTTTTCTTGAAACGTATTTGTACGGAAATAAGTAAATATTACAAATTATACCTATCTCGTTACTTCCCTTCACAATAATAACATAATTTTCTTTCTTACCATGTACTATATAATGCTATAAAACAAATTCCCCCGACATTATGCATACTTTCTTTTTCTTTTTCTCTTTTCTTTCCTGGCAACTTGTTTTAAATTCACGATTAGTATTGTCCTTTGCTGCATCTATAACAAAATGTATGCAAAATTTCAGGATGGACAGATAAAAATAAAATACCAAAAAAAACTATTTTATGTCTGTAAGATTTATGTAAGTACCGGCATAAATTAAAGTCCCCGGCCTTAGTGACATGTGCTTCTCCTACGGTGTTCCTTCGCTCTTTTCTGGGTAGCCGTAGTAGTTTAATACTTTCATTTGAGAAGTTGCTGCTAAGGAAGTATGCAAAAACTCTATAAAGCGATCCTCAATACTTTATTACCTCAATAAACATTTTATATATTTCAACTCTTCTCATAATTCTTTTTCTTGAAACGTATTTGTACGGAAATAAGTAAATATTACAAATTATACCTATCTCGTTACTTCCCTTCACAATAATAACATAATTTTCTTTCTTACCATGTACTATATAATGCTATAAAACAAATTCCCCCGACATTATCACCACTTAAATCATTGAGACATAACGAAATAATCATGTACCGGAACATATCAACGCTACACGCACATTGAGTGACGCAAATAAGGGGGTGGGCACACCAAGCGAATCTGTAATCAAGTCGCCGCCTTCCGCAGTAAGCCGAGTGGAACTTTAGCCTGCTGGTGGCGGAGCGAAATGGTACTTAACTATGTCTTAATACATTTTATACGTAGAAACAATACCTTCTTCTGTGCGCTTTTTTGTCGAAACATTAAAATTTGTATGGTATAGCGACCGTCTCTAAGTTTTAGCAGTAAGATAGAAGATATAGTATTTGAAAAGTAAAACAAAAAAAAAGAGTCTTTAATAGGTACATATCATTGCAAGA